GGAGATGGGACGGATGGGGGAGAGTGGCTGAGGCTGCAGGTAAGGTGGGAGAGGGAAGGATGGGGAGAGAAAGGTGCCTGGGGGTGCGTGGGGTTCATGTGAAAGCTTTGGGGCGGGTGGGGTGTCCCACTGATTTCAGTGACCATGGAGATCCTAGGCTAGATCTCTGTGACCCTTTTAAAGAGGGTTCATGGTCTGTAAAACCCCTCTGAAAAGCGATATGCTGGGTGTTACTTCCCATTGCTGCTCACAGCCCTCACCTGAGAAGCTCCAAGGTGTGAAAATTACCAAATATCTCTTCTCAGCAGCATTTATACCCCTCTGGACCCAAGATGAGAGAGTGTCCCATACAACCTGGATTTACCATACTATTCTTTACATCTCCCCACTCCATCTGCTGATGGCAGCACGGCTATTTTTCAATTACATTATTTCTGTGCTCACATCTACTAAAATATTCTGGAAGATTCAGGCTGAGCTGAGCCGTCCTCATCACAAATCTGTTTGGTCCTGTTTCTGGCTCCTGCCTATAGCTTCTGGGACCACTGCAGCCCACAATTTTTCCCCTTTCAAAGCCCAATCCTACAAAGCAGCTGACTTGAACTACACTTTATGGTTTTCCCATTGGTTTCAGGGCTGACTGGCATCATGTCTAGGAAGGTGTTTTTTCACTGCATATAAGTGCCTAAAATTGCTATTTCTGGATGGAAAGAGCTTTGTCTTTGCATCAGTTCTCTCTTGTGATCAATGTTCAGTGTAATATGAGCCATGAGGTAGACACTTTAGCAAAACAGGATAATTATGGGATAATCTTGTGTGATATTGGCTCATTTCCATTGCTCTGAACTGCATAGTTACATATATATGGGTTGCCTATATCTGCAGTTCCCAATGTGGTGTCCCCATGGACTCCAGCAGCAGCAGCGAAGGACACTGCATGGCTTTGGTGCCACCTGAAACAGGGCAAGTTGAGGACAAATAAAAGATATTTCTGTGAATTACCTCCTTGTGCTGGCATGCTTGTTGTGATTAGGATTTTGTGCTGTATTTTCCACCCGAGTTTCTTTAAAGTAGTTTATGATGTGCTAATCTATGTGAAAGCTGATTTATCAGTTCTGGTTTTCCCTCTTGCCCTATGTTCTATCAAAAAGAATCTACTGCTTCCCGGGCATAAAATAAAGCATGGTCTGCTTGAACAGCTGTACAAAACCAGACTTTATCTATGCTGTAGTGGTGCTCTGAAGAAAATTTACGCTGGCATAAGATCTGGTAGGAAATGGAATGTGCAGACCTCTGGAAAGGAGCTTTTCTGGAGGCTCAGCGCTGGTCATTGAAGTGATTCCAACCACAGGATCTTCCTTGGTCTGAGACTTTAATTTCTGAATTGATAGGACTTTCTGTGGTATTCTGTGCAATGCGGACAAACAGAAAGTAGTGTTTCTTTTCTTAGAAATGTTAGAGACATTGAGTCAAGCTGAATATTGCATCTGTTCAACAAGTCTGTGTGCTAAATTTCATATGGTGAGGTTTTAAATAAACTCTCTACTTTGTATTTCATGCTGGTGACTCATCCAATCAGTCTGAATTAGTCTTAATTTATTACAAAATGGCGTAGACCACAAGACTTTCTGGAAAGGAAAGGAGAAGGCTCTTCTATATTTACCTTTTGGACATTTTTTACAAATAGTTTGAACACATAACCTAACCCAGCAATTTCGGTCTTTGACTCGCAAGATGAGCTTGAGGGGTGGGCTTGATGTCTGCAAAGGGCTAAAATGACTTCATCAGAAATGATCTTACAGAAAACCAGCCATTTTTGCTGATGCCACATCAGTGCATTCCCCTCTCTCCTGGATTTTCAGCTAAAGTTTAAGTACTCTTAGAGGTTTTTTAAATGAGCTTTTTGCTTCTGCTGCTGCTGTTGGAAAGTTCTTCCAGACTTTCCGTCCGTTGGGAATTTTATTTCTAGCCTGTGTGTATCCAGCTTATACCCACTCATTTTATATGCCAGTGTTGTTTTATTTAAATTTAAACAGCTTTTCTCACTGTGGTGATTCTCTCTTGGACAGATGATTGTCCATGTACTCTCACTTTCTGCTTTAGTAGACTTAAAAGTGAGCAACCTTTCAGTCCTCCTGATAAAACAAAAGCTCCTTTCGTTGGCTGTTTATAGTGAGCCCTGTTACTGGGTTTAATCCTTCATTTAGGACTAGAAACTTTCCACAACAGCAGCCGGGCTGACAAGTGAATGATCTTTCACAAGTTCATTAATTCTTCTCATTTTGGAAAAAAAAAAAAAAAAAAAAGTTTTGTCTCTGCTAAAAATATCTGAGGCCATGAAAAGAGCAGCCCCTGTCCGGGAAGGCGTGCTTCCCCCTCGCAGGAGAGCTGCTGTACTGCAGAGATTATGACTTTATCCAGCCTCCAGCCATTACTGTCCCTGGAATTGCTTATGCAGAGCGGCTGCTCCCAGGGGTTTTGTGGGTGCTTGGGCAGTGCTTGCTGCCGGAGGCAGGCACCGTGGCCACCCCGGCTTTCTTGTGTAGGGAGAAACTTCTGCCCGTGCAAAAAGGGGAAAAAACATACAAGAGGAGAATGGAGGCATGTATAAACAGACCAGGGCATTTCAACGGTGTCTGAATTTCACTCCTGAAACTAGATGGGAACCTCTTTTCTCCTGGTTTTGAATTTAGCATCTTGAAAGCAAGGCTAATCAGCAAGCCACTAACTCCATATGTCCTTCTGATATACTCAGGCCTCATCACAGACCTTAGTGGCTCGAGTCTATTTATTCTCCTCTTTCATATCCCCAGGGTGGAGAGCAGGGAAAGCATGTTCAGCTTTCCAAATATTTTATTTATATCTCGCCAGCCGTGAGTAAGTGCCTCCAGCCTTCTGCTCGTCATAAATCTGTTCATCACCTCCTTCCGTCAGCTCTTTTCAGGAGGAGGTTTTGTACCAAAAGAAAGGATTTCCATGGACTTGGGTGTTCCGTGAACACAAATAATAACCTCCAGGCTGGTGTTGTGCTTGTAACTTGGTACCCATGGGAGCTTTTCCTGGAGGGGACATGGTGATGGGGATGGAACGTGCAGTGCCCTGCTCAGCAGCCCCTGCAAATAACCACATCTGGGGTCCCTGTCAAGTGAGGGGCGTGGGAGCAGCCTGGGTTTGCTGCGTTGCTGCCCCACTGCAGAAATAAAACCAGCTCTAGAAGGGACGTGGCAGCCTGTCCTACAACAGTATAAACTAGGTCAGCGTTGTCAGGCGCCTTCAGCTCTGCCTTGCCTTTATTTATAAAAAAAAGACAAACAAAAAACCCCCCAAAACCCCAAACCAATAACCAAACTTCCCCCCTCCAGCCCAGCAATATTACAGTCCTTTGTATAATGAATTTTGGTCACTAGCACTGGGCCAGCTTCCCTTAGCTGCCTCTTGTAGATGCTTTAGAGTTGATCCACAGGTCATGATTTCCAGTTAGGATGTTGAGCCAAGGAAAAATGATGTGAGAAACCACATGGTTTTGACCAGGCTCCATCCCTAGTGTCCTGGCTGCAGATGGGGGTGCTGGTCCCAGGGTGCTGGTCCTGCACATCTGGGGTGGGTCCGTGGGGATCTGGGCAGGTCATTAATCTAAAATGACTCATCTCAGCTTCTTCAGAAAGTGCTGCAAGAAACTTTGCAAGGAAAGGCCTCTGAGGGGTATATGAAGATCAAAGCCATGATGGAGGGAGTGCCGGGAGCTGCCACATCCTTGTGAGCCCAGGCAGTCTTGAAGGGAGTAGAAGTAAACCCAGTTTGCTCACAAGCAGAGAGGATGGTCTCAAAACCAAGTGTAGGGTCACTTTTGGGCAGGCAGACCGTGTCTGGGCACCACTGAGCAGATGCTGACACCAAACCCCGGTAGCCCATCCTGTCCTTCGACGTTCCTTGCCTCCTGACAGGGGCAGAGCAACACTGTGCCCCAGGGGCTCTGGGCTGTCAGGAGCAGAAATGGGGGACTGCGTCTTTCCTTCCCCTGCCCCGCAGTCCTTTACACTGTGCCTTGGTAATTGGGACACTGGTGTAGGATTCCAGTGCAGACTGGACCGCAAAACCTCCTAAGTGACTGGCATGGGCAGGAGGATGCCTGCTCAGTGCCACGGGGCTCGCTGCTGAGAGGAGAGGAGAGACCTTTGGGTTTCTTCCTGGGTGAATGGGGTGTTGGAGTATCTTCAGTTTGGGCAGAGTAATGTTATTTATTCTGCTTTATGTAAGTGGATGCAGAAGGTGCTGAGCAGGGCAGGATCAAGCTGCTGGTTTCCATCGTCTGCTATTGATATTTGTTTAATTATTTTAATGTATATATTTCCCCATATATATATATATATATAGATATATAAAATATATATATATATATATATTTCCTCCCCCCATCCACAGTGGTTATACCAGTACAGCATTAAGTTGTAATAAGGGAGATTCAAGTCAGGCAGTAGGAAAGCTTCCTACCCAGCAGAGAATGACGTTCTGGTCTTTGGCGAGTTGAAGCATCTCCATCCCTAGGGGCTAAAGAAGTAGTTTATTAAAAACAAAAATAAATTAAAATATCTGCAAGTAAAGAAATTCTGGCCCCAGGGAATAGGAATGGGCTAAACGATCTCTCCCAGACCCAGCAGGCTGTTTTCTGTGATATTTATAGGATGTTTTGTGGTTTAAAGGAAGAAATTGAAGCCAAATCATGCTGATTATTACAAAATGTTAGCTGCTGTTTGTGGAAGAGCCTGTCATGTAAAGGAGAGGAAGAGCTGGTGTCTGAGCCAGTTCAGTGAAGGAAAAAGTGTGAGGAATTTAACATTTAGAGTAACTCTGCACTGCAGGGAAATAGCTGGAGCATCTCATACTTGGCAGCTTTGAGTACTTCCAAGTGCCTTCCTTTTTGCCCTCTCCTCTAGATATTAAAAAACAGTATCTGCTGACAATGTTGGATGATGTCAGTGTGGGTTATGGGGTTAGGAATGAGTAAATCCAAGTGGGTTTTTCCTCTTTGTGCCAATGTCCTGAGTGGAACCTCATGACCCTTTTCTCTTCCCTTACAATGAAATGGGGGTTTGGCTCTGGGGGGTGCTCGGGTCTTACTGGAGTGGGAAGTGTGTGTGCAGCCCTTCGGACCCGAGCGGTGCGGGGCAAGGGCGTTGCCTCTGCCACCCCATAAGATAAGCCAGGAGTCCCTTCTGCACCCTCAGCACACACCCAACTCTTTGGGGTGTGAAGGCAAACAGCACATGGCTCTTTGGGGGGGTGAAAGCTTTCCGAGTGGTGGCCGTGCAGCCCCACGTGCACCCGATGCTCACGGGGCTCCCCTTGGCGCTGTGTTTCAGGCTGGATGTGGCCGGGCCATGGCGCAGCTGGAGCTGCTGTGGGCAGCTGCCGCGCTGATGCTCTTCGGAGCTGCTGTCAGCCTCTGCGTCAAGTGCCAGCTCTCGGGTAAGGCTCTGCCCGCGTCCTTCGGGGTCCTGCCCGTGGCCCCTGGCTGGGCTGGGGGTCATGCTGGGCACACATTTTCCTTCTGGGGTGTCCCCTCTGGGTGGCTTGGTCCTGCTCAGCCATGGGGAGCTTTGCCCTTCTGGGGATGCTCCCAGCAGCTGAAGCTGGGAAGGGTCTGTGCTGGTGGCCTGGGAGCAGCTGGGGGGAAGGACCCCCTGACCCTGCATCACCCCTTCCCTGGGGTGGGTGCACTGCCATGGGCTGCAGACCCTTCTCCATGGTCACCGTGGTGGGTGGCTTTGGGACACCACACCTGGGAGGACCTTCTCCAGCTGCAAAAATCCTGCAGAAGCTCTGGGGCAGACAGACAGGAGGAGGGCAGGCACAGAAGGACAGTCTGGGGGATAAATCCAGATATACATTAAATACAAAGATTGGGGTGAGCACCCACCCCAATGGGGTTTGGGCCCACTTCTGAGCACTGGGTAGGTTTTACTGGGGAAAAGAGGCTGCAGTTTGGGCTTTTGGGGACCAGGTTGGCTGGCTGGCTTGCTTTGCAGTGTCTGAGACAAATACTACAATTCAAAAATGGTTTAAGATAAATTAATCAAAACCCTATTGCAACTGCTGCTTGCTGCCTCCACTGTCCTCTCATGCTCCTGGTTGAAGAAGTTTTGTCAATGTGTCTTATTGGTCTTTCTGATCCTTAAGACCCAAATCATCTCTTTCATAAGAGCTTTTTTATTCCTTGTCTTCCAGCTACGAAGCGAGAGAAGCAGCTGAGTGAGCGAAGGAGCCAGTAAGTTGCCTTTCACAATCGCGCTTCTTCCCCAAACAGCTCACCTAGGTTGAGACCATGGCTACAGCCAGACCCACCCCATGCCTCACAGCTGAAATCTGGATTTACAGAAAATAAAGTAATCCCAGAGTGGGGCATGCAGGGTGGCGTGTCTGAGCCCAGGGCGCTGCTGAAGCGCATTTATAAAGAATAATCCAAAATGAAACTGAGTCTTGGACCATGATGCCTGTGAGTCATTAACTAGTTGGAAAAAGTCCTGGGAGAGTTGGAAGGGCAAGTTCCTGTCCCGTCGTGCCCCGCAATGAGGTAGAGAGGTTGGTAACTTCCTAAACAAGAAAGACCCTGCCCTTGGCTGGTGCTGATGGGATCCTGTGCCAGAGCAACGGCCGACCTGCAGCATAAGCAATGAAGGAAATGTGATTGTACACACACGCACACCCCCTTATTTCCTTCAGCAACAGACAAACCACAGCTAAATGATATAAAGAAAAAAAAAAGCTGTCTTGTAACCTTTGATATAGGAACAAACATGGTGCAAAGGGGCTCTGCAAAGCCTCCGTGGGGTCGGGGTGTTTGCTTCTGCCCCGCTTGCCCAGGAGCGGGGGAAAGGCTTCGGCGTGGCCCATCGCAGACCGATGCAAAGGCCAGCACAGGCTCCGTCCCTCGCTGGCTCATACTGAATTGTCCTGACTCCTTGAAATTTGTACCTGGATTGGGCGGTTTGACTTCAGGCTCGTGGTATCATGTGCTTTCTTTGGAAATCTCTTTTGGTTTAGTTAGGGCTTTTCGCAAGCAAAGTGGTTTAACTCTGTATGTTTGCCGACTTCGCAATGAGGTGCTCTAACATCTCATCTCCCTGCCAGCCCTGTGCCATGTACCAGCTTGGGACGGGGGGGACCCAAATGAAAGGGGGGTGGAAAGGGACACTTCCAAGGTCCCCAAATCAGAGTTAGTAAGTGCTGTATGCACCTGCAGTAGAGGAGCTGTTCCATCCTCTTGTGCTCTCAAGAGCAGTTCTCCTGTTAACTGAGAAGTAAAGAGGTTACTGGGCATTTATATTATTTTTATTGTTGATCGCATATGTTATTTTTTTCAGTTGGATGTTGGCAGGGGCAGGGGCAGCAGCAGAGGTGAACCAGGGGAGTTTGAAAAAATTTCATGGGTGAACACCTGTTTTTTTGTGGGTAAAATGCTCTTCTGGCCTTAACTGGTGCATAAAGTGTCAGAGTAATAATTATCCTACATGATGTTTTCCTCATCCCTGGGTCCTTCCCTAAACAGATGTTGGCTGCTCTGTCAATGGTCTATAAGCACATCTTGACTTTAAAGGGTCAAAGAGGAGTCTGGAAAACTGCTCCCAGCCCATATGGGTTCTGCATGACCTGCTGGGCGATGCACCTCGGCTTCTCACCAAGCCCAGTGTGGGGGCTGTGCTCACCAGACAGGAAGGTCTCTTGCATCTGTTTTTCTTGTCATAGACCCCAAAATTCAACTGAGGTTATACCTGTGTTTTTTCCAGGCTCGACAGTCAGCAGAGGTTTGAGGTGATTCGATCCTATTCCAGTGAGTATGAGTGTTGCGGGGTGGGGGTCCTGCATGCACAGAACGGGGGAGGGGGGGGAAGTAAAAATTAAAAGGGTCACCTTGAAGCCGAGTAGTGAAATGTTATGAGACTGAGATTGTCAAGACCGCCTTAGATCCTTCTAGAGATGTGAATTCCGAGCTCCTGGGAAAAAATTTCCCTTCACATTGAAAATAAATCACTAAAGCAATGCCACTGAAATGCAACGCCTTATTAACTTGGGCTTTTCAAACCACTCTGTTCACCCTGTGAAAATGACAGTGTGGGTGAACCCGAATTGATAGGAGTGACTCATTTATCATCACCCCCTTACTGCTTCCTGCGGCAAGTTGGGTGAGGTGCTGACCTTTTGATTTTTATCCTGAAACGAGCTGCTGATGGGGTCTGTACGAAATGTCACCGTCTGCAGACGGGCTCTGCAGGGGCCGCTCCTTTCCCTGGGACCTTGCTGGGCCCAAGCCCCATAATCCCCCTACGAGTCTTTATTTCAGCAGAGCCCAACCAAAGCTCACAGCCTACCGATGCATCTTGCAGTGTCAAGGGAGGGGTGCTGGGCATGGGAGACGCCCCTAAGTCAGTTGGGTTTGGGGGACAGTGGGCAATAAGGCAGTAGGTGGGATTGTGGCTTCCTCCAGTGTGCATGAGCTAGCTCTGTGGTCTGCACAGCTGCCAGCTTTTCCTCCCTGTTTCCCATTTTGGCCATTTATGAACTTTCGAGGAACAATTAGGAACTATTTTGGGATGCCTTAGAAAAATTCTTGCCAGTACTGGGGAACTGTCTCTGGTGGATGCTCCGCGCTCTTTGAAATATCTGCTGCTGCCATAATAATTAACACCCCATTTTGTTCTTGGTGCTAGCTACAACACGAAGGCTGGAACAAATAAAGGAACCTGAAAAATTAGCAAGGTAGGTAAAAAACACAAACAAAATCTAGCTGTAGAGCCAAGGTTGGATGAAGTTCACCCAACATACATGAATGTTCAGGATTTGGGATTGGGTTCTGGACTCTATAGATGTGGCTTGGGCTATGCTTAGAATCAGAATAATTTGGGTTTGAAGGTCACCTACTCCACCCCCCCCTGCAATGAGCAGTGAGCAGGGACATCTTCAACTAGATCAGGTTGCTTAATTTATTGATGGTCAATAGTGGGTTTCAACTTTTCTTGGATTTTCTTCAGTCAGTCTGCATTCTACTGTGAACCATTTAAATCAAAGCCAAGGAAGTGAGCTGTGCCTGTACATAATAGGTACATCATGAAAATAAAATGGCCATTCTTTGTTTATAAGCAGTTTGACATGAGAAATTCCCTTCTCCTCATCACTAAAATGCCCAAGAACTACACAGCTGCAACAATTCTGCTGTGATATTCAGGCATAGTTAGTCCTCTCTTGGGATTTGACCCCAAACTCCTCATGTCCCGTTGTTCGATGTGTGTCCTGTTACAACCTCGCAGGGAGATTTCACAGGTGGCCCTTCTGGCTTAGTCACTGCTGTGGTTTGCAACCCCTGGTATGGTTTGCTCAGACCTGGGACTTTAGCTCTCTTTTCTGTCTTTCAGGAAAACCCCCAAGGAGCTTGGCACCTCCCGCCGCGCTGGATATGGTGAGCATCTCCCCTGGGACGGGCCCTGCTTCAGCGCTCTCCCCATCCTTGCAGCCACGGGGGAAGCACCTACCGCAAAATTAATAAATGGGGATGTTGCATATCTTGGCTTATTTGTGTAGGTGCTGGCTGGCAGTTTTGGGAAGACAGAGCCTCTGAGAGTCTGGTTACTCACTGCTGGACCCTGGGCAGGGCAGGGGGGGGTTATTCTGGAAACAAGCTGGGTGATGATAAAATTCTTTCCTGTTTATTAGCACCTACCCATGATGCTGCACAGCGATGCTTAATAAGATAGGCTGGGTCCGAGTTTAGAATGCAGTGTGCATCCTGCTGACCAGGCCTAGTTAGAGCCACAAGGCCAGATTATTTGAAATATCACCCCTGGTTGTCCCAGCAGCTCTGCCCTGGGGCATCCAACCTTGCAACCATGTCCGCCAGCCCCAGGCAAAGAGCTGAGCAGGGGCAGAGCTGCTGCTGCCAAAATGCTCAGTGGCACCATCATCAGACTGCTCCCCGCGCTCGGCCTGAGCCCGAGCATGACGTGCCCCTCTGCTTTTCCCCAGGGAGCGGGACCGAGCCCAGGTATCAGAACTTTCTGACAGGTAAATGCTGCAGCCACACGGCCAGGGGTGTGGGAGGGAAGGCTGCCGGGACGATGCGAGGTTACTGGGGATGAGAACTGGTGGGGAGCACACAGACAGCTGCCACTGCAGCTGGCAGAGCTCAGGCTTGGTTAATTTAGTGATTGCTTTGTAAGACACATGCTGATCTGATTAATGGTCAGAGCGGAGGGGAACGGGATGCTGGCAAGCCCCCTGCTCTCTCCCAGGGCAGCGTGAGCTGGTGCTCGCCCTAAGAGATTATTGGCACGTGGGGCCATGATCTCCTTTCCCAAACTGGGGAGGATATTCCCGATCTCCTGCCAGCTGGCAGAATCTGTCCATGAGAAGTGACGAGCCCTGGTTTTCCCATGGCGTGGGGTGGATCAGGGCTGCCTCCCCTGCTTCAGCCTCCCAGCTCTGCTTGTGGACAGGCTTCGGGGCCGAGCCAGGGCTTCCCTGCCTGCTGGGGACATTCGCCATCACTGTGCTCGGGGAATTTGTCCAGCTGTGCTTTTGGATGGTGGTGAAACTTGTGCAACAGTATGGTGTACTGACAGCAAACGCTTTGTGCTTGCAGAGGACTGCCTGCAAGGGGATGCTGCCTATGTGTAAGTAGCTGGTTGCTGCCTGCCAGCACAGTTGAGCAGAGGCATACTGGTCCCAGTGTGGTCCTGGCTCTCAGACTGGGAAGCCTGTGGGCTGCCTCAGGCAGGAGGAGCTAACGGCTGCTGCTCTTCTCACAGGGAGCCCATATCTCTGGATTACTACAACTGTGCCAGGTTCTTCACACCACCCAACGGTAAGGTCACCATGCAAGTGAGATGGTTTCTTCTCTAGCCACCAGCCTGGCTGTTGAGTGGCTCCAGGGAGCTACAAGACTTTTCTTGCCTAGGTCTGTGCATTATTGCTGTATTGCCTGAAGCAAGCGTGGGGCCAGGAGATACGTTTGTTAAGGGGTGTAGCAGAGCTGTGGGGCTTGAGGGATGCCCAAGCACCACTCAGTCCATCTGTTGGCTATAAACAGGACAGCCCAAACGCATCCTTGGCTCCGATTGCACAAAACACTTGGTTCTTACTCTGTTTCATCTCTGGGCAGCAGCAAATCTCACTGCAAGAGTGTATGGGACAACAAAGCCATTTCCCTATTCTTAGCTCAGTTCGGTTTGCTTGAGCAGAGATTGCAACCCCACAGGGCCCTGCCTAGACGCAAGGAAGGGGTATGTCCTCATCCGGAAGCTTTTTACCAAAGGGACACCTTTAAATACTCTGCGTGCTTGATTTATGAAGCTACTGAATGAAGGTGGGATGAAACACACTGCTCCATTCATATGCATCTTTTCAAGGCAAATACTGCATCTGTGAAATGTTTTCACCTCCCTGAGCACTCGGCACTTCTGTGCACTGACTCAGACATCAATCTATTTTTATCTAAAATTACTTTCAAAACATTAATCCTATTTTTTTTATTTAAAGAGACTGGGGGGGGGGGAAT